GAGAGAGAGAGAGAAGTTGAAGTTCGAGACGTTCAAGTAATAATAATCGTAAACACGCATGCGCTCTTCTCCATATTTTTCTCTCTTTCCTACGCGCGCGCATGCGTATATATATTTAGGATAATTTCTCTCGTTGGACGGGCATAAACACTCGCGCATTATCGTCGTGCAAGATCGATTTCTTTGTAACCGGCTACATTGGGATGAAAAGTCGCGTGACCGTAGCGCGACGAAACCGGTTCGAACCAGACTTCGGCTATGCCTTTCGGTTCTTTCGTTCTCCTCTTTCCTTTTTCTCCTTTCTTTCTTCTCTCTCTCTCTCTCTTCTCTCTTCTTCTTTCTCCCTTCACTTGGGTCGAAAGTCGACGAGAAGGAATGCGCGGATTACGTAATAACAAGATGACTCGCGAGAGTTCGGTCGAGATCTCGGTTTTTCCGTTGCGTTGCGTTCCGCTGGTGACGTAACGCTGGAGAGTGTATACACGGTTGTTGGTCGGTAAGAATAACATTAAGAATTCTTTTGATTATTCGTTATCGTGGTTTCGATAATGAAAACGTTTCCTTCGCGTAAAGGCGAATAATAATGCCTCTACCACGCTCTATTTTCTGCACCTTTATCTTTTCGATTAAAATGGAATAGATTCGTTGATCGACGTTTACGTCGGTGGAATGTGCGTAGCTGCACGCGCGATTAACTGTGAATTGATACGAAACGGATTATAGTGCTAGTCCAGAAGTGCCGTGCAGCATACGGTGAAACGGTTTATTTATTAACGCTACGTGATTAATAATTTATTTATTTTGTTTTCCGATGAAATTATGAAATTATCATTATTCTATATCTTTATCTTTGTGATGTTGTTATTGATAGTGAATTGTATAGTGAGAGTAAGAGAGATAAAAAGATAGAGACGAATTTTGGATATTTAGAAATGTAGGATGAAAATTATAGAAATTCAAATTTTTGCAATTAGATGTTTCATGCGTATTGCTAACTCGAATTTCGAACTCGACCGTATTTCTGAAATAATTGAATCAGTTGTACTTGCTCCACGAGAATTTCAATACGGACTTTTGACTTACTGGAATTCAAGCCATATTTGCTGGTGCATCTATCGCAAGAATAATCAAAGATACAAAACTTATAGTTCATTTTAAAACGTTTAATCTTAAATATTCTTAAATATTCACAAATTACACAGAACTTGACAGATGCCAAGTTATCTTATTGCACGTTTATTTTCGTTAACTGTCGCACAATGAGACAACGAGTTACGAGTGTAGAAAGTAGGACTCTAGGATTTCTTGACTGTCTTCTTTTCGATTTTACACATTTCACCGTGGAAAATGAAAGAGAAAAACATTTCTTAAGAGTGAGATGGAAAAAAAAATATCTCGTTTTACAATATCTCTCAAGATATTCTAGAGAGACGTGTAACATTGTCTCTTTAGAAAACAAGGAGTTTCAATTTCTGGAATTGGTGGACGCGATTCATTGAGAATTAGAATTAGAAGAAAAAAAAATTGTTCGTTTCTTATACAAAACGTGGTGGTCGGCAATGACAATAAAAAGGGGAAACGAAAGTTGTTCGTTTATAATTGGAGGCTATTCGTAGAATTTCTCGTCGTGCAAAGTTTCGCCGTCGAAAAATATCGATTAAACATTTTCCCCGTAAACCCGTGGGGGTGCCTCTTGAAAGTGAGAGAGAGAGGATTAGCATTTACGCCACGGGATAGTGGCAAATAGCCCCATTGAACAAATAGGGTGACGATAGGCAAATTTTTCGTTCTTTATTCTTTATTTTTTTGTTATTTTTTTTTTTAACAAAGCTGTGGATAATTTTATTTACGAAATTGTAGTCGAAAAGTTTTTAAGATGCATTTATAAAAATTAGTGTCTGAAGCAATCTTTATGAGCGATTGAGAAAGGTGCGGGGTTAACAAGAGCAACAATTTTAGATCGAAGTTAACGACATTTTGATATTTTCTGATATTATATCTACTCGATTATCAAGTAATCTCGAAAATTGGCAAGTGTCAGTCGTAGTATATTCTTTGGCGCGATGCCATTCGCGCAACATGTGAGCCGAACGAAACAAGTCAACGACTGAAAAAGCATCACCGAAGAAGTGAGTTATTCGTCATATGTTTTTACATCAGCTTTCGTGTCGCGCGTGATATTAAATATATTGCTCAAAATCCCATAAGGAAATATCATTTTAATTGAAAATTTTAATTGGTTTGATTAATGAGTTTCTCCCGTTGAGAATAACCTTGCGTTCTTTTTTTTTTTTATCCTTTTCTTTTCGAAGAAACAAATGTCGCACCGTTGTCGATTCGAAAAGTATTGATTTCAAGATCAAGGTCATCGATAACTTAATATACGGTGCATTGTATAAAATGATCCAGAATAATATTAATATTGTATATAATAAAATTCATTGTCGATTATAATTAATTCCAGTGTCATATCCACACGTGAATAATTAACAACAAGTTGCGAATGTTAATAATAAAATTTGTTCGCATAAAATTTTCGAAAAAATTAAAATTGAAAATTTAATTAAATATCAGTACACAAAGTATTTGATTACCATTTAATTTGTATGTATTCTATTCGAAATGAGAAACACAATAAAATATTTCATTCTACGTTATTTATTTGTTTTTAAAAATTTTTTATTGATAATTCATATATATCCACTCAAAAAAAAATTTTTTTTTTTTAATTCATTTCAATATATAATCCTGGAACATCTCGTATATATGTATATATTTATAGTACGATATGTATCTTGATTGCATTATATGTTGAAATCGCGAAGTATATTGCCAACATTTTTAATTACTTCTTGATAAAATTAAAAAGATACCAGTATCTGATTGTAAAAAAAAATATTATAATATTATAAGTGCCCAAATGCACAAAACATCAGAAAAAGTCGCGAGCTATTCGAGAAAAGAATTCTTGGGTTCGGAAAAAAATTCGGACAATCTCGGGAAAAATCGGGCGGATTCGGACGGCGGAGTCTAGACGTCCGAATTCTCGACTAACCTGACAATTGTGCACGAGTTCATTCGAAAAACATATCTTAAGAAATAAGGAAGAAAATGTTTTACTTTCCATTGAAAATAATTGTATTTTACATATCTAATATAACTATATATTAAATTCTTAGAGGTACATACTTCTGTCTTAAAAACTGTAATTCCAGTTCTAGAAATTAATGAGAATAACTCTGCAAGTAGACAGGTTAAGTAGACAGTAAATGCGATAGTTAACTACATCTGATATATTCGCGCTTCCCAGTAAAAAAGTGTTCCGTTTAATCGATGCAATTTCAAGAAAATGAAACTTCATATTTACTATTATGTATTTATGTATTTACATTAAAAATTATAATCTATTTTTTATTTTTATATTTTTACTTAACAAACACTACATATTATTTTTTGAAAATCCTTTAGCTATGTACATATAACACAAATTTGATTATCTAAAAGATTTTTTATCCGAACGTGATCGCCTTCCGAATTCGCCTTCAGATAATCAATGTTTCCAAAAATATTGTATCTTGGAGGAGGATTTCTCATATGATTTTTCTATTTTTTTTTTTATTTTTTTATTTTTTTTTTTACAGCGAAGGTAGGGAAATGGTACGCGTCTCGTTGCTAGGTCCACAACCTTCACCGACAACACCCGGCGTATTTCAGGTGCAGCCTATCGCGATATCGAGGACTCAACCGATCGACATGGACACCGTTCCGGCCGAACTCCTGACCACGCACACCGAACACACAGCTCCCGCCTATCACACGCAAATCAGGTAAGCCTCAGGTCTTTCTTTTTCTCGCCTCGCCTCGTTCCGTTTCGCTTCGTTTCCTCTAGTTTTATACTTACACCTTCTCGGTTACGCCGACAAATTATCGATTACCACGGTGTATGCCTCCCTGCAACAAATAATACGATTTTTTTTTTTTTTTCCACTATTAGAGGCCGGTATACGTGATGGTAATCGGAGAAACTTGTTACACTTTAAGCGGAACAAAATCACGATGTTCGGAGTTACACATCGTTTACACATCGTTTTCTTTCCTTCTTCGTAAATTCGCTCGACCTTGTACCGTTTTAAAAAAACAAAATCGGAAACAGGCTTCGTAATGAGAAGAAAAAATTGATTTTATCTTGATTATTTTATTAATCGTAAGAATTTTTCATTAGATGCCAGGAGGAAGGTTGCACAAAAAATTAATCGGGATATGTTTATTCGCAATCTGTTTTAAATATTGCGCGTAAATTATCTATCAAGAATCTATCTATCTTTCAAAAGAGAACACGAAAAAGATCTGGTTGCACACGATCGAATGAGAGCCACTACCTTTCTTATAATTAGCTCCCTGCACACAACACTAGTGACCCCCGTGTTGCTCTTAATGGACCGGAAGTGACGTGCCTCCCCCTCAGTCTGTGCACGCTTTTCTCCGTTCTCTCTTCCTCCGTCGAACGAACCGGTACCAATTTACGTTTCTTACGCTACAGAATGTTGTACAGAATGTGGCCCGTGGAGTCGGTGAGGTAACAACGCGCATTCACGCGTGCGCCTCTCTATTGCGACGCGATCGTTTCATGAATCATTTACTGCTCCTCGATCGTTCTCTCCTCCTCCTCCTCCCTCTCTTTCTCTCCTGGTTTCGTTCTTTTTTTAAGTCGTAATCCGTCTCGAACGTATCGCTTTACTCGCTCGGTGTACGTTTCCATCCGAGATCCAGCCGTATCTGTTTTCCGCGATAAAAGCGATTCCTCGCCGCGACACACATAACGCGCTGATCTGAAAAAGGGGGAGAAAGGAAAAATATGAAGAAAAAGGAGGAATTTTCTTTAAGAGGCCGAGATATATATCTCAGGGTGCAATGTCCCCGATTGTTAAACCGGACGGTTTGTATCTTACGTATAACCGTGTTTAGATGATACGACATTCCTTGTCTTTAAATAACGTGACCCTATTGCGCAAGCGCACGCTTAATAGCCGTATCAAAAGTTACGAAGGCGTTACGTTAGTTACAGACGTTTGTCGCCTTGACTTCGATCCGTATTCGACGATGATTCTCATCGGCTGCTCGTTCCGCGTACGTAATAATCGTGTTCGATCGCCGTTTGAAAACCGGGCAACAAGTGTTGTTTTAAATCTTGTTCCGGATTATTCAAGTTATTTTCTTGAAACTGTTCATCTTTCTATCCTTCGTTAACGCTTTTGACGAGTCCTCGGAAGAAAGAGCAATAATTATTGTACTCGTATTTTATATATATTTTTTAAACGTTGTTAAAATTTATCAAATAACGTTATTTAAACGTTTCGATGATGAAAACGATGGAACGTGGGTTATCTGTCTTAACGTTCTTATTTATTGTTAAAAAGTTAATTTTTGCAGTCTTGTTTTTAATCAATTTAACAATTGAATGACGCAAATTCGATTAAAATTTTTAATTTTAACGTATTCATTCTTGTTAACCCAATACCAATCAAGGATTAATTATTACAGATTTGCCAAAATGTGGAAAAAAAAAAAAACTCTTTGCGAGCGAGATTATTAGATAAATTTAACATCCATTGATATCACTCGCTTTTGAATCAGCAAACTGTATTCCGTGAGATACATTGATCTTTACGCGAAGGGTTCGTTAGGAAATGAAAGAGTTTTTTAAAAAAAAAAGGAAAATTAGATAAGTTTAATATTCATTGACGCGGTTCACTTTTGATTCTAAACCCGTATTCAAAGGATTCAGCTTCATACACGAATTAAATAAAAATTATGGGTCACGTTTGATCCGACTAATCGCATTTCAAAAGTTAAAATCTTAACGCAACGGATTCGTTGGAAAGTAAAAAGGTATTTTACGAGTGGAACAAAGACTGCTCTCAGATTTGTTAAAATTCTAATTAACAATTTGAAAAGGAAAATCTTTTTCGTTGCACGTGTCTCTTACGTAATTTACAAATTTTATCTTGAAGGAACATTCGTTGTACATTAGAAAGAGCCAAGTGTGCAACCAACGAGGAAACATTTTAGAACACAACATGGTTTGTAAAAGCCACGCTCCATCCCACCGTTTCCTTTTCTATTGTTCGCCTTGCTCCACCAGTTATCTACGTCGCAGCCGATTACGTAACGTGTATATCCTGACTTCTCCGTTCCACTGATTTAGTGAAATCTTCCTTTTTTTCCAATCGAATAAACGTGTATATATATATATTAATTGTGAACACGATAAAATTTCTTCCAAAAAACCAATTTAAAAGCTTTATCTTTGGTCAGTATTTTATACTTTGGTGATTTCGATACTTGTGTTTTGACATTGGTTTTTATCAATGAAAAAACTCTAATTCGTGAACAATTTTGATTTTGATGAATTTTAATGAAATTCTTTTCCTGACAATTTTTCATAACGTAATTTGTTATAACAGCAAATTTTTAGTATCCTCGAAACAATATATTATTTTTTAAATGATAGAATTTATATCGTATGAATTATTATATGAATATACATTATATACTTATCCAGATACTAAGAATATATTTAAACATTCAATATAATAGGATATAAATAAGTCTTAGAATCATGGCATCAGGAAATAAAAGGTTAAATCGTCTAATAAACCACAGAAGAAGGCAACTCAACATCCTGTTTTATATATTTCGCGGTATCAATGCCAATTTAGTATTACTCGAGTATCGTTCGCGCTTGATGGTATCCGTAGCAGCCAATATACAAATAGCATCGGCATTGGTACTATTAACAGTACCGCCATCACGAGGAACACTAGGTACTACTATCCTAGTGGTGGAAGCAAGAGGAGAACAGGGTAGAAGGAAGTAGCAGTGGGAGCAGGAGGAGGAGCGGAGGAGAGTGAGGTGGGGCGATCGATATAGCGTGGGTGGATGTGCAGAGGTGCGGTAGGACAGCCGCCAGTTGTGCTGTCGGCTGCATCAACGAAGAATCGTGCTCTCTCTCAATCGGTTGGCAGTGCACCGCGTTCTCCTTTATCCGTGGTTCACAGTGTCCGGTTGGCGTACAATGTACATCTGAATGCATCGAACTTTATTCGATGGGAATCTATGGTGATTTCTGCCAGCTCGATATACGCGATTCCTTCTTCATCGACGAATATATATATATTCATCTTTGGTCAATTTTCGGACGATGGCGGTGCAATATCTATAAGAAGCATTGGAATGTGTCACCGTTCGGTTTCTAACTACGCTCTTTGATCATTGTACCGTAACAAAAACTTTTTCCCGCAGTTTTCTCAATCGAAACTTAAAGATCAAAGATTTTTCTTTTAAACGTTGCGTATTATGAATATAGAAAATAACCTTGGAAGCGTTTAAGAAACGTTTCTTAAAGAAGATCGCGTGAAAATTAACGCGATCGTATGTCACGTCGGAAAAACATACGGTCTCGCGTGTACGATCGTGATTCGCTCGTAACAATTTTAATTTATCGTTTCGAGAAGAATCTTTGTTGTGTTGTTGCGAATATCTATATCTTTTCGTTCTTTTGAAAATATATAAAGAATTCGAGGAATTCTGGTAGATAACGAAGAAGTTTAAGGATCGACGAATTTCTTCGCATAATTTAGAACTAGGAAGCGAGGTTTATATCGAAGTACGGGCGCGCATAGTTTCGAATAGTCGTAAGCTTCAGGAAACTTTTCAGGCGAAAACTTGAAAATAGAAACGAAGTATAGCGCCTCTTCGTGGATATCAAAGATAGAGACTAAAGAAAAATAAAAAATAAAAACTACTCCTATGACCTATTACTAATCTATTATAAAAGACGATATCATAATAAAAACTGTCGAAGCTTTCTCGAAGTTACGAAAGGGGAAAAGTCAAGGCGATTGCCGTGATGGAAAGGTCCATTCTTATATCCATCCTTCTATAACTTGGAATCGAACGTTCCAAATTTTATAATTTCTCTCGTAAAATCGAATCGATATTTGTCGAGCGTTAGGAATAAACCGGAACCAGTTTTCTTCGTCGTGTACAATACGTTAGCGCGCAATTTTATGAAATAGGTGATGCAAATTGAATGGAATAACAAGCCGTCCATGCTCCATCGTCGAGTCAACGAGTCGTCGTTCAGGGAATCAATTGGTACATCGCGTTAGTGTCGCGACAAACACACTGGCCTACATGTCTCTCTGTTTATTGGCGGCTCGTATTTAACGTCCCCCTTCGCATTCTTCAGCTGAATTTTCCTTGATCCCTCACGACCACAGACGAGACGACGCAGTCGCGGAAAAGGCGACCGCAGCCTTACGGCGATGGCGCAGTTGTACGCACCCAATGCATCCCTCGTCAGCGTTGATACACCCCTTTACCCACATATACAAATTAATCTTTGTCTTCCG